TGTGCGAGTGTGCAGCGCATGTGCACATTGAGTCCCCGCATACAGGAGATGGAGCAGACAGATAAAGAGTAGAAGCCTACCAGGCCGTGACATTGGACTAGCAGGGAGCGATTGAAGATTTAGTAAAGCCTAAATCCTAAACCCTAAATCTAGAATCTAAACCCTAGGGGAAGCCGGAGGCCAGAATTCTTGCGCTTTGCCTATTTTCTGCCGAGGTCGGCTGCCCGCAGGGAGGATACCCACACAGCAGCCGGCTTCCGGAGTCTCCGGCTGGGCTGGGCTTACTTTGTTGCTTACAAGGCTTTAAAATGGGTGGAAGGCTTAACTAGGCTTTGGGCTCAGAATCTTTGGGCTTCAGGGTTTAAGGGTTGAGGTTGCCTGTACCCGAAACACGATCCGATCCATAAAGAACCCCCGTACCCCCTCCGCCCAAAACAGCGGAGTGTTGGGCTTTGTTGGCCCTGAAGGGTACAAGTTAAGCTTCTCTTGTACAAGTGGCGGACGCAGGAGGTATTCTCGCGGGCCAGGCGCCTACGACCCTGCCACATCTGCACCCTGGCAACGGCTGCACGTAAGCTCCAACACCCTTCGTCTTTACGTCACATGCAATTCCTTGCCCTAGACCCCCGAACTACCCTCTAATATACCCCAGATACGTGCTATTAAGGGCCATTCGGCCTGGATTAAAGGGCTCTTGGGGGGTCCGGTTAGTACTGACGAGACTCTTCTGGATTCTCACTCCAGAACGATGCTCCGAAAGCGCGATTGGGCATGAGGACTTCTCCTGACCCGATATCCCCTTACCCAATGTCTAGACCCGATTATAGAATCCTATGCTACTCTTATGGGACCCTTCACGGAACCCTTATGAAAGAGCCCTATATTACTATATTACGCTTATAAGACCCTGAAGGTAACCCCTCAAAGCCCCTGAGGTCTCCAGAATCATCGTCAAAGTTGCCCGCATGGGGTGATTTGTCGGAGCCTCTCTTGCAGCCAAATGCTTGAGGCTGAGCTCGAGCTCCTTTCTTTCAGAGATGGTTAATCGCTGCCTTAACATTCATGCTTTTGTTTAGGGTTTAGGGATTAGGGTTTAGGGCTTTGGAGTTGCTTACAAACTGTCGGGGTGGTACTGCTTGGATCGGATGCACACCCACTCTGACCGTGACTGCTGGCGCCGGAGCAAAGCTACAGCTCGGTTGGCTCTTACGACCTCACCGCTGCTCGACAGCACTCTGCAGCCATCAGAAAGAGCTATTCAGAAATACGCGTCACCAACAAAAGAAAGGACAGTTCGGCTCTGCAAACACTTGTTCAAGCAGCTTCGAATTCTCCGACTCACACCCTGTGACATATTGCGGAAAGGAGATGTTACATACTGAGACATATTGATGGCATATATGTTACAATACACTGCGTATCTTGATATCTTATCGTGAGTCGGAGTCGGGGGAGGGGCCGCAGTGGCCTGCATGCAATCAAAACTGGGGAAAAAACGCGTTCAGCGTTTCAAAACTGAGCGATGCTGCCCACACGCCCTGCTGCTATTGCAGGGTAGCAAGCAGCAGCAAGTAAGAACAACAAAAATGTACATGGTAGCTTCGCACACTCAGGACCGCTGTTTGAGAAGCAGGCACAAGGCTTGTCCATCATGACGAGAGCCAGTCACAAAAGGACAATAATCGGATTGCTGATAGTACGTTACAGACCTGCCCCTGCACTATAATACCCTCACTTTCGGAAACTCCTATATGCCATTCAATCCCACATCCGATCCTGACTTGTGGACTCCCATGCTGCCACTTCCTGAAGTGTGCAGCGTGGCTACTATAGGGGCGTTAATAATTGGGTTCCTTACAATAATTTTAGTATAATGGGCCCCAATTAAAACCCTCTTCTAATTATTAAGGCCCCTATACTACATACATCCTCCGTGCACAAGGGGATCAGGGCTCGAGGCCCATGTCGTCACACTTGAAGCTGGCGCTCGACATCTGTCTGTCCTCATTCTTACGCGCGCAAAAGGGGAAGTGCCATATCCGCGCACAATGAGAGTCTTCTGGCTGACTGGGGGAACTTGTGCGAAGTGAGAGATAGATCTTCGGTTGATAAACATCTCTGCTACCGCTCTTCTGCAGCTATGCGTTGCAGTGGCCACACGAATGATGACTAGCAGACTAGCAGTCGCAGTGCAAGTGATAGAAGCCGTAGATTGTCGTCATCGTGTTGAGTTTAGGGTTTTTCCGTGTTTGGCTACCTTTGAGTTGTTCTGGGCAAATTAGTTCGACACAGAGGGCCCTCAATGCAAAGATTAGGGAGTGTACGAATCACGACACATGTTTCTCAACTGCACGACGGCCACATCAACCTTCGTGAAGTTTAGGGTTGCTTCGGGTTCGGGGTTTATGCAGGACCTCACAGGGCTCAACTTCGGAAGTCTGCAGAAAACCCTAAACCCTAAACCCCTAAACCCCTAAACCCTAAACCCCTAAACCCCTAAACCCTAAACCCCTAAACCCCTAAACCCTAAACCCCTAAACCCTAAACCCCTAAACCCTAAACCCTGCACCCTGCACCTGAATGCAGCTAGGAGTCCCACCTCCGGCAGCCGACAAAGGGTGATGCTGAACCTGGGTTGGCCTTTAGACACCCTGAAAAATATTTATATATATATATATATATATATATATATAGGGTCCCTTATAAACCCAAATCAGGAAAATAAGAAATGTCCCAAAATCCAAACTAGGAGCATAATGCAGCAGATGCAAAACACGAAACCAGCCACACCAAGAGCCACCGCGAGTATGATCACGAGCGTGGGGTGCTCCGGGCTTATCCCGTTTGTTGGTGGCGGCGGTTCCGTAGCACCGAACCATTCATCCAGCCTCAGATGGGCTACGGAAGATGTTGTGGATATAACACTGGTCGAGTCGGAGAAGGATTCGGGACAGTCGCTCGTGTCGACTTCGCAGTCACCGATATACTCCTCGCAGCAGCAATGGCGAACCGAGTCCGCGAAGGGGGGCTGGATGTCGCACGAAGCCGTTCGATCCACATTGTATCCACACTGGCCCTTGGCATCGGCAAAAGGAGTGGCGCTGGCAGTGGAGCCATTCAGCAAGGCCATGCCATGTGAGCAATCGTGGTTGGAAAGACTGCCCAGGACATCACGCACTGCAGCCACACTGCCAAGAAATGTCTTCAACTTCTCCGGCTGGCAGCTCATGATGTCACTGAGAGCTTTTTCATTACATGGCCCGATTCCGTTACACACGTGGCTGCAGCTCTCCCGCTGCCCTCTCCTGCCGATGTACCAACCTGCCATGACGTAGGGCAGCCAGCTCATTACCACCAGCTGCTTTGTCACAGCCATGGATACCAGAGCCAAGCGACAGGGCCCAAAGTCGTGGCAAGGTAACTAGGAGCCGCAAGGCCAGTGAAAGCACAAGTTCAGATGCAACTCTGCCGAGACTTTCTGCACTTCTGCACTCTGCCACCCCCCACCCCATGTAGCCATCGTCTGATTACACTTACACCAAACTGCACACCCCCAAACACTACATTGAATATGAAGGCCCCTATCATTTCCTGCATAGGCTGCCAATGTTCCTGCTGCCTGCCTGCACATCGATTTGGGGTGGCCGTTGGCGGCTTTACCCGAGGTTTGGGTCCAACATGGGTAGTAGCTGTAGGAGTTCATGTTAGGGTTCCAAGTGAGTGTTCCTTGAGGAGTTCTTGCAATTGAGGGAAGCTGCAGGCTCGAGAATCTCGGAAATCAAGGGGTGTCCAATCTACCTGTAGTCTCCATTGTGGTTCCTTTTTGGGGTTGCCTTTTCGGATCCTTCATATAAAATTGGTTAAACCAGAAAAAGGAACTACAATGGAGACTATAGGTAGGGTTTGGGGTTCAGGTCCGAGTTCATACCGTACATCCGTGACGGCCGCAGCAAGATGAAGGCCTCTCCAGGAGGAACCTCTTTTTGTCGAACGCCCACCAGGCCCAACTCCTAAAAACCTTAGAGCGCACTAAAGCCCCCTAAATCCTAAACCCCAACCCCTAAACCCTAAACCCTCAACCCTAAACCCCAACCCCTAAAAAGATGTGCGAGCTCGAACCTGAACCTTGACCCTGAAAAACCTACAGCCGTCAACACAGCCCGCTTTAAGCTGTGAACGAACTGCACTTACGGACTTCCGGGCTTCAAGTCTCCCTGAATTTGAATCCCATGCCTGCTTCACAGCTTCCCTGTTGCCTCCCGCTGATAACATCGAAAAATAATGCAATAAAGTGGCCTTGTAGGTTTAGATTTAGGGCTGGGGGAATGCTGTATTGTGACGACACTCGCAGCCCTATAGTGAACACTGATGCTAACTATTCAGGCCACGACAGAGGGAGGGACGAGCAGAAGCCAAAGACAGTATATTGTATATACACACACATAAGTACAAGTATCCATATATATATATATATGTATGTATGCATATCTGTATATATATATATATATATATACATACATACATACATACATACATACATACATACATACAGATACATACAGATACATACATACATACATACATACTTAAGTACATATATATATATATATATATATATATATGCATATCATAACTGCTTATATATATATACGATTAAACAAACAAATAAACATGTATATACATATGTATATATATATATATATATGTACTCATGCAGATACGATTATATATATATATATATACATATATATATATATACAAATATATATATATATATATATATATATGTGTGTATATATATATATATATATAAAGCGAGAGAGAGAGAGATACACACTCAGATTATATGTACATGCATAAAACATAACATTGTACATTAGATACACACCTACACTGACATATATGCATGCATGCATACACATTGACAAGGCTTCCGCCGGGCGTGAGCGCACCTTTTCTTCCGATGCTCATATCGTCATGGAGGCCCTGCCTCCAAGCGCTCACACCAGCACCTCCACCCCCTTCCCCGTGGTCTTACTCTCGGTCTGGCTGTCAAAACTCACCCTGGGCTCGGATTCGATGCTCGGGTGCCAAGTCCGGATGGAGCCGTCATCACTGCCCGAGGCAACTCGAGAGCCATCTGGGGAGTAGGACACGGAGTCCACCACGTCCTTGTGACCGGTGAGGGTGCGCAGGCACTTGCCAGAGAAAGCATCCCAAATCTTGATGCTTTGGTCCCAACTGCCAGAGGCGATTTGCTTGCCATCGGGGCTGTAGGCTACGGACCAGACATAATAGGTGTGGCCAGTGAGAGTCAGAAGGCAGGTACCGTTTTCTGCATCCCAGACCTTGACAGTGCGGTCGTCACTGCCAGACAAGAGGTGTGCGCCATCTGGGCTGTAGACCACCGACCGAAGATAATCCTTATGACCTCGCAAGGTTCGCAGGCATCGCCCAGTGGCGAGATCCCAAATCTTGATGGAACGGTCTGCACTTCCAGAGGCAAGGTATTTGCTATCTGGACTGTAAGCAACTGACCAAACGTCGTTTTTGTGACCCTTCAGCGTCTGCAAGCAGCTACCGGTGCTAGCATCCCAGATCTTGACGGTATGGTCCCAACCGCCAGACGCGACGGTCTTGGCATCTGGACTGTAAGCCACCGATCGCACCTGAGCCGTGTGGCCCGTAAGAGTGTGCAGACACTTCCCTGTGGCTGCATCCCAGATTCTAACAGTCAGATCTGCGCTGCACGAGACGATGTGATTGCCGTCCGGACTCGGGGCTACCGACCAAACCGTGTCTGTATGACCGGAGAAAATTTGCAGACTCTGACCGGTGCTGGCGTTCCATGTGCGCACCGTCAGGTCATCCGAGCCAGAAACAAGGGCGGCACCGGTTGGCAACCAGCGTACAGATTCGACGGGCGAGCCCTCCCAAATCGAGGGCGGGGACACAGCCAGTGCCCGGACAATCATGTACAAAGCCAGGATAGCTGACGCCATGGCTGCAGATGTACTGCGTGGTCCTGGAAACGGTTGCTCGAACAAACAACTTGCACACAATCACACACAGCTGAATGCCAGTGTAGCGAGATCTTCAAACTCCACATCTCGAGCGATTCCCACTTCTAAAATCAAGCGAACTCACCTTGCCCGTAGAAGACCCGCGATCGAACTGTCTTCGCCTGTCGCCTCCTAGCAGCATCTAAAAGCAAAGAAACTGAACGCACCTGAAGAAGACTACAAGTGTCGTTCTTGGCATCACGCCACTGCACCCTTCTACTGCTTTGGGCATGTGCCCTGGTGGACCGACAAGCACGACTTACATGCTCTGGGCCTGCAGAGCCCGCAAGATCTTTAGGGTTTAAGGTTTACTTTAGATTCAGGGTCTAGGGGTTTAGGGTGTACTTAAGATCCAACAGAGCACCCCCCAAAAAAGCTCCGAAATCCTTGTCTCTTCAACTCGTCTCTGAGGACCCGACTCCTGGTAGCTCAACTTGCCATCCCCTCAGTACCGTCAAGATGTGGGAGTTTCCGAAGATAGGGGACCCTAATATGGTACCCTAAATAGTAGGATCCTTATTATAAGGACCCCCACATGCGGTACCCCTATTTTCGGAAATTGCCATGTGACTTCAGGGCTTAGGGCTTTAGAATGCAAGATTTTGACCAAGACATGCCTGTCAGGCAGCTCTTGGAATTCGCCACTGACCATATCTGCGAATTACTTCTTCGGACGCTAAGTAAACCCAGAGAGCCAAATACCTCTTAATTAGGCATATGGCTTAAATCCTATTATGCGCCCCCTTATAATTTAAGGTATATTCCTTAATTAAGGGGCATTGGGCTCTCTGGGTGTTTTTTCGGACGCTAGGTAAACTCTCAGTAGCGAAGTCCGCGTGGGATGCTCGGATTGGGGATCTTCGGAAGCGACATTACCCAGCCTGGAACCCGAAAGACCCATTGAAACCTAAAACCGCCTTGGCTCCTGGTGAAAATCCGCTACGAGAGCTCCAGCCTCGTATCGCAGAACTACGGAGCCAAAAGCACAGACCAACCGAATCAAGAGCCATGAAAGCCCGAAAAGAAGGACCTTAAACCCCAAACCCTGAGGGGGCTCTTGCTCTTCTCAAAGACACCTTAAAGCCTAGACGGCCCTAAACGGCCCTAAATCGTAGATCTGCTATCGAAACAAAAACCTTGAAATCCCCATGCTGAACCCCGCGACTCTCGTCTTCCTTTTGCCGAGCGTCCATTGCGGTCGACCTCATTCCAAGCAGCCTCCACCTACCGGCGCAAGGGCAAGGAAGCGCAGCCTTTCTGCTTAGAGGCTTGTTGCTGCTTGTAACAATGTCTTACCTAGACCCCCAAAAGTAGGTAAAATAATGGCCCAAATCCTATAACAGGCTATTATTCTACATGCTTTTGGGGTCCAGGTAGAGGTTTGACTTATCTTAGCATCTTTCTGAGCTCTTCCAGTGTGCCCTGTGCAAGGATCTCGAAGCTCCTGGCCTTCAGCCTGCGCTGATTCCAAAACTGTCTCACCTACGGTTTCCTTCAAACTCCAAACTCCCTAGCTTCACTTGAATCTATATGAGCATCTTTCATCACCTAAACCCCAAACCCGAAGCCCTGAACACTACCCTAAACCCTAAACCGCAAACCCTGACCCCTGCCTAGACCCGCAAAAGTAGGTAAAAAAATGGCCCAACTCCTATAAAAGGCTATTCTTCTACATACTTTTGGGATCCAGGTAAACCCTATAAACCTCACAAAAAGGGGACGCTGGGCTTCGACCAGACCTGCTCCTGGCTCTGCACGTTCTTCGCCATCCTCGCCGGGGGGGCTCTGGGTCCAACGGCTTTTGGCTCTAGGCTGGGTTTAGGGTTTAGGGTTTAGGGTACTGCCCCCCACCCTGTAACCTGTTTATGTTCGGGGTCAGAATGAAGGTCTCTCTCTCTCTCTCTCTCTCTCTCTCTCTCTCTCTCTCTATGTATGTATAAATGAGAATAGTCATGACAATAATGATAATTGCATTAAACATACTATCCAACTGTTACAGGATGGGGGCTGTATGCAAGCTTTATTTAGGGTGTAGGGCCCCTGAAGACCCTAAATCCTAAGCCCGAAGTAAGGGCTCTTTATAGAAGCCTTGTATGGAACCCTCCCTAAACCCTAAACCCTAAACCCAAAACCCTGAAACCTAAACCCTAAACCCAGTCTGTGGCTTGGAGTTTGGGGCTGGGTGGCCACGTGCGCCAGTTTATTGGGATTTAGCATGGAGGTTTTCGGGTGCAAGGGGCCTTAGTAACTAAAATCGGGCTTACTGTTGCGTAAATTCCACCATGGTAAGAATCAGGAACCCTGAACAATAATGCTTCCTGCAGTAATGATCCGGACTTCTACAGTGGCAATTCGGGGTCGGGGCCCGGTGGAGACGATTCTAAGGGCAGCTAACGGTTTGGGCTTGGGGCCCCTTTACCTTTAATTAAGGGTCCTTTTCAGGGTTCTTTTTGGCTTCTGAGAAAATGGGTCTGAAGCCTTTTGTTGCTGGGGTGCATCTCTCATTGGTCTAGCTGAAACCTAAACCCTAGACCCTACAAGCCCGTAAACCCGAAACGCCATCAAACTATGGCTTTAGATGTAGGACTCAGGGTGTAGGCTTTATTTTTAAGTGCAATGGCTCTTTCTCCACTTCGCAGAAGCATAGCAGGATGTAGGGTTTAGGGCTAGGGGGTTTGCAGTTCTGGATTGAGAGCAGGCGACTTGGGGTCCAGGATCTCGGGCTCAAGGCTTCGGGAGACACTCGAACTTCCTGTCCTGTCCGAACATACACACCTCACCTAGTTAAATATATAGTCTCCTTTGAAGTTCGTATCTTTTCCATTTCCTTACAGTAGAAGCCAGAAAGTTGGAACATCATTATCGTAACCCCTGTAAGGTAAATTATAGGGGATCCTACCATTAATCCATATTCCAACTTTCTGGAGTTCCCCATATACCAACTAATATAATAAAAATAATACTACTACTAATAATTAAATAGAATCATAATAATAATACTAATACTAATACTACTATTTAGTCTCCTTTGAAGTTCCTATCTTTTCCATTTCCTTTACCAGCTGTGGATTCGCGGATCCACTTTTTTTGTTGAAGGGCGAGGCCCCCACAAGATCACGGCACCGCTGAGCCACTGGTCAGCGAGCTTCCGGGACCTCTTTGGAGCAAATGTGAGAAACGAGGTTTAAGGTTTAGGGTGTACAACTTTGTGAGAGTAGGGGGAAGGGCTATGGCCGTTCAGCTTACAGGCCTTTTTGCGATCTTCTGCGGCTTCGTGTGGGTTTATGTGGAGCTTATATACACGTAGATAGATTAGATTGGACTAGTCTAAATGGAGAGTAGGTCAGATTAGATTTGGGTAGAACTGGATGAGATGAGCTGACATGGGATTATAAGTAAGATGAGATTAGGTCAGACTGGACGACCAGGTCAGATAAGGTAAGACAAGATACACAGATAGATTGACTAGCTCGATATCTACATAGCTAGATGGGGTTTTCCGAAATTAGGGCTACCTTATCCTGGGGTCCTTAATAAAGATCCTACTTTTTAGGGTACTATATTAGTGTCCCCTATTTTCGGAAACTCCCAGATTGGTAGATGGCCAACTAGCGAGACAGCTAGACAGGTAGATAGGCAGCTAGGTGAATACACAGCTAGATAGATAAACAGATAGCTAATTAGATAGCTAGCTGCTGATAGCTAGCTAGTTAGCTAATAGATAGGCGATGGACAGATAGATAGAAGATGGATGGATTCATGGATAGACGGATAGAAAAGTCGACAGATAAACAGATATATAGACAGACAGATTCAGATAGATTGAGAGATATAAATCGGTCAGGCTAGCATAGGTTCGGTTAGACTAGACGAGGCTGGGGTAGACTAGATTACATGAGATGAGATGGGACACGATGGGATGAGGTTAGACGAGATTGGATGCTACCGACCTAAGATAAGGTGGATGGACAGACATACAGGTGGATTGACCGATAGATAGATAGATAGATAGACAGCCAGATGGACAGACGTTCAGACAGATGGATTGACAGGTAGATAGTTATAGGGGCTAGGGACGAAGGAGCCATAAAGTAGATGTTGCACAAGCCTCGGATTAGAGGGTGCCTTGCACGCATCGCTGAGCTCTGCGCAGAGAGTTCTCGTACTGCTGGAGGTATGCGGCATAGTTAAAGGTCTCGGACCTCAGAGGTCTGAAGGTTTCGGAATTTCGGACATGGATCAAGGGCTGCTTTTCGCCCGGCTGTGGCTGTGACGGCATGAGGCATAAAGGCTCAAAAGGATCATGTGGTAACTCACTCTACGCTCCGCCCTATGCCCCGCCCTCCCTCCCCACTCGCTTTCAAGAAAAAAGTCTGTTTTGGCAAATGACCCAGCCAAGCATGCTGCAAGTACAATCTGGCTACCATGTTCATCAATGCCACATTCATTGTCTTATATGGTCTTGTTCACACCTCAACACGCACACACAAACAAACAAACAAACAAACAAACAAACACAGACACATACACACACAGAGACACACAGGCACAGACTCACCTTATGTACTCGGGGCCCTCCGAGCCCTAATCACTTTCTCCATGCCCTTGCTGCTTCCGTGGGTCTTACGATCCCAAACACCTTCTACTCGGTCTTAGCTGCAATGCTTGCCGACAATGGATACACCGAGATTCCGGGAATACCCGGACATGCACAGTGAACTCCCGAACTCCCACAGTCCCCAAGTGGGTGCTTAGGGCTTAGGGTTTAGGGGTTTAGGGTTTTAGGGTTTAGGGTGTGGGGGCTTAGGGTTTAGGGGTTTCGGGGTCTAGGGGTTTATGGTCCAGGTTTCGAGTTGAGGGCTTGGGCGATAGTTATGTATGTTTGGGTCCTGTCGGGCATGGTCGGAATTGTCCAGATGTAAAACTATTACACTGGCTGG